CAGAGCACTGTGATTGGCAAACCGCAATCAGAGTGTTCTTCTTCAAACGAGCGGCGGAAAGCTTTATAACGCTTCCCCGCTCTGCGAAACTCCAGTCTGCGGCATAGTGGCGAATTGGCCCACAGCATCCAGCCGAGGCGCCCGAGATTTTATTTGGCCACCGAGCCGGCGGTATAAATAAGGCTGTTGGCGAAGGCAAATTTGAAATGCGTGTACTGACACAGGCCAGTAGCCCCCCTCACTATTTTAGAGGTGGCGTGAACTTATTTTAGTGAAGTAGCGATATTGACTTTAGAACCCTGCGCCCAGTGAGGCGAGAAACGGTCCCCATTCTCATTATGGCCCCCACCCGCCGCCCAGGGGTGGGGGCCGGGGGGGCAGTAGGTCCCCCCATTCTCATTATGGCCCCCACCCGCCGCCCAGGGGTGGGGGCCGGGGGGGCAGTAGGTCCCCCCATTCTCATTATGGCCCCCACCCGCCGCCCAGGGGTGGGGGCCGGGGGGGGGCAGTAGGTCCCCCCATTCTCATTATGGCCCCCACCCGCCGCCCAGGGGTGGGGGCCGGGGGGGGAGTACTGCCCCCCCCTCATTCTCACTATGGCCCCCACCCGCCGCCCAGGGGTGGGGGCGGGGGGGAGGACAGTAGGTCCCCCCCCATTCTCATTATGGCCCCCACCCGCCGCCCAGGGGTGGGGGGAGTACTGCCCCCCCCCTCATTCTCACTGTTTAGGGGTGGGGGCCAATAGTTGTTTTTTTGTTGTTGTTTTTTTACAGTGAGCAGCCACAGGCTGCTCACTGTTTAGTGGACATGCCCCTACTCGCGGTATAGCGAGTAGGGGCATTTGGGAGATTTTTATCTCCCTTGTGCTATTATGGGGGTCATATTGACCCCCATAGAGTGAGAGGGGGACCTGGGGGGCTTATGAAGTGGTGGGGAGCACTGCTCCCTGCCGCTTCTATAGTTACATATTACAAGGAGGGAGCTGCGTGCCGGTAGCTCCCTCCTTGTAATAACCTGCACGAACAAACTAACACTGATACATTGTGTTTGTTTGTTCGGCTGATATTTCTATTCACTCATTCGTCTGTCTGATGGATGAATGAATAGATGAAATTCCCGTTCGCATGTCCAGGTGTTTCACTGGGCATGTGCGGGAATCTCAGTGTCTATCTAGTGTGGGCAGATGACGTGTCCCACAGGGACTTCACCTACCCACACAAAGATGGCGGCGCCCTGAATATAGATCGGGGCAGAAAATAAAGATTTAAAAATAGGTAATGTGGGGGGCTTAGGGGCATTTGGGGGTGACTAGTGGGTCAATTGGATGTAGTGGAGGCGGGAGGGGGGTTAAAAGAAAAAACAGAATTCGGCATGACAGTGCCGCTTTAACCTGTTCTTAAACTGAATGTTCTTTATCCATGAATGAGACCAAGGACAGTTTAGACTTTGTTCAAACATCACATCAAAAGCGGATCTACCTAAGACAAAGGTTGTTTTGACTGGATGAACTTGTGGTGTGATAGTGGAATAATATCATAAGGGCTGATTTGGTGACACGGAATCCAGCAGAGTCATTAGAAGCCGCATTCTATGGCCAAGTGGTGCACAAAGCATCCCACAATGACCACCACGTAGTTGCATGCATAGCCACCTGTGATCCAAAAGTCAGCCATTGCTTATCTAAACCGTGTCTGTTAAGCAAGACACAATATCAATATTACCTGTAGCAATTTGTGTTCTAGAGTTGCCAGCTCCAAATACTGCACATCTTCTCGGGAAACTCTATCCAAACGATCACGCACTTCCTTTAGTTTGAGCTGCTGGGACTCCACATTTTCACGAGCTTCTCTTACTATCCCACGGGCAACCATGAAATCCTTCTCTGCCTGGAGAGTAAACAGAAGATGCATGAAACACAGTGAGCTCCATCAATGAAAATCTACTGGCTACAGGACAGTACTGAACAAAACATATAATACATATGAACCTCTAAACGGAGACTTAAAGATAAAAGCATTTGGGCTCTGACAAATGCTCAATATACATTTAAAGGAACATCAAACATTGGGTGAAAAAAAAAAATTTAAAGACATTCTACGTGACTTTCAGTGTGTTTTATTCAGTGATGTAAATTTGAGACAAGTGAAGCTCCCTATTATAATAAACTATAAGCAATTCTACAAACAATATTTCAGCACAATAGAATTAAATTAGAATAAAGTAAGGGTTTTGTATAACTTTTTCACACTGATGACTGATGAACATGCCCGCATTTTCTTTTCTTTTAAACCTAAGGCAGTAGTAATGTTACTTATTAGTGAACTTTGCCCTTTGTATTGCAGAGTAGAATATACTGACGCAGTATAAATAAATCATATTTTTTATGTGTTTATTTTCGAAGTTGTTTTCAAAGTTTAATAAGGCGTACACAGCCAGAAGAACAATTGTGGTACATTTACAAGTCACATAACTATCACAAACTATGGATACAAAAGTCATGTGTATGCCATCAATGCGGGACCGACTAGGTAGCTATAGGGGCAGCCAATAGGATATTACAGGTGTAGGTGTAGTTTTGCCCTGAAAGCTCCCTCAAGCTTCTCAAAACTGAGAAAACTTGGTCAAAGAGAATAATATTCTCTGGGACATTTCTTTGAAGTTACAGTAAGAATGTAATGAAGCCAGCAGTGCCTGAAGTAGTACCATGCAGGTAGATTTCCAGTGTTTTGCCAAATAGATTTTAGCGCCTACTTTGCCAGTTAGATATCAATTGTGAGGGATGTGTTAGCTGCCAGATGACACAGGAGAAGATGCTTACGGATCCACTTAAAATGTAGGTGCTTACAACTGAAAAAGTTGTAAAGTTCTAAAACAGGTGTAATCACCACGAAAACCAAAAGGAATTAACATAAACATTCTACTGGTTCAGTGACAGGTCACTTTGTAGACCTTTGCAACACATTTTATTAAAGCGGCACTGTCATGCCGAATTTAAACTTTCTCCAATCGATTCCTCTTCTCTCCCTCTGTCAGGATCTGTTCTTCATTTCTTCCTGTATGCTCTAGTTTTCTTTAAAACATAAGAAAAAGTAGGGACTATTTTGTCTTATGGAGGTTTCCTACGCCTGACCAGCTTTGACCAGTGGAGGAGCAAAGTGTGCTTCGTTTCCAGTACTCAAAGCAATTTCCCCACAATTCTCACCTTTGATCCGTGATCTTGCGATGCTTCCTGTCAGTATTCCAGAACGTCCTGTCACTTAGACAGAACGCCGGTGAAACTACTGAATTTCGTCAAAACTGAATGAGAACAGTTTCTCCATTCGTGTTAGGATGCATTTCAGGACTTTGTTCATATGGGAATTTCATTAATATAATTCCAACGAGAGACCTAAATTAATCTTTCAGCCAAATTTACTAATACTAAGTAAAGATTACTTCGTATTAGTAAATTCTGCTCCTACTCGCTATACTGCGAGTAGGGGCATGTCTAGTAAACAATGAGCAGCCTGTGGCTAAATTATTACAAGGGGGGCACACCTATTGTCCTCCCCCCCCACCCTGAGCGGCGGGTGGGTGCCCAAAATGAAAATAAGGGGGGGGAACCTATTGCTCTCCTCCCCAGCAACCAATTTAGAGTGTTATGAGTCAAATTACACAGCATGGGAAAATTCCCCAAAAACTTTCCCACGCTATGTAAAATGACACAGAGCACTCTGATTGGTTGGATTTCAAGCCAGCCAGAGTGCTGTGACAGGTAAATTTGGAGACTTACCTGTCAGTCTCCTTATTTACCTGTCAGAGCTCTCTGATTGTGGGAAAATTGCTTTGATCACCGGAAACGAAACACACTTTGCTCCTCCGCTGGTCAGGCGTAGGAAACCTCCATAAGACAAAGTATTCCCTACTTTGTCTTATGTTTTAAAGAAAACTAGAGCAGACAGGAAGAAATGAAGAACAGATCCTGACAGAGGGAGAGAGGAGGAATAGATTGGGGAAAGGTAAGTTCGGCATGACAGTGCCACTTTAATAACATTTTTATAAAGCCTCTCAACTCAGTCTGGTATTCATGGTTGTATAAAATAGATTGGTTAAAAGTGTGTTGTTTAATGTGCCCTGTTGGCACTGTCTTCTTAATATTTAGTGCTAGCAGAAAAACAATTAAATGTAACTTCAGAGATGGAATTATTGCAGTAGATTACTTAGATATTGAACTGTATGATGGTCGCAAAATGAAAAACATTTTCTTTGTTCATTTTGATTATAATCTTAGCATAAGCAGAGTCTCATTTGACATATATTATACCTCAGCTACATTCCCTTGGGCATCGCGAATCTCCACCAGTCCCACAAACTCTTCGTACCGGTCCCACCAATTTCTGGCTGTCGCAGAGACTCGCTGCACAACAGTTTTGCCTACAGTTTTTCCCACTTCCTTAAATCTCTGTATTGGGCTGGTATCTGTGTCTTCAGGTGGGGGTTGCACATCAGACAATTTAGCAGCCGAACTGTGAGTCCTTAATTGAAAAACCGGGATTCTGTGGCCTAGAAGTAAGCTTGTCTTGTGAGTGGGCCTCATGGTAAACGTTACAACTGGAAAAGAACCGAAGAATCTCATCATAAACAACAACTCCTGATTGAGAAAAACGTTTCCGCAACTGAAAGAGGAAAAAGAAAAAAAGATTCAATACAACTAGTAATTAAAAAAACTATAGGGTTTATTCAGTGAACTGCAGTGAATTAAAAATCTGCATCGCAAAAAATAAGCTGAAACAGCCATTACTGGGATGAATAAACTAGTGGTAAGTAAACACAAAACTAAACAAAAAAAAAGAAAAATAACTTACTTCTAAAGCAGAGAGATTCCATATGAGAGCATGCAATACGGCACCGTGGAGGTTGAAGAACCTAATGTATCTGGAGTCTGTCATTTTCTTGACAGCTTATATAAGGTTTTTTAAAGGCCTGTTTTCCCTAGCTCTGTGCAACGCCACACCTGCATTCCCACCTTCACATTGAGCTGCACTGTATTATTATAATCTGGAAATCGGCATTTTTATAAAGTGTGGAAGAGTGGCACTCTAAGTTAAGCACTGCAGCAATGTTTAGGGGGTTTTAAGTGTTTCTTTAAAGGACCACTAAAGGCACCCAGATCACTTCAACTCAATAAAGTGGCCAGGGTGCAGTGGCCCTGTCCTATCTACAACACTGCCATTTAGTAGATAGGGCACTGTTTTGACTGTGTGGTTAAACACACCTCTAGTGGCTGTCTTCCTAACAGCCAGTAAAGGCACTTGCGCTGAAATGAGTTTCACTTGGTTATGTGATGTTCGACATCCATGAGAAGTTTGAACGTCATCAAGTTCAACTTATAGCAAGCTTCCCTGTGAGAGGCATTTAATTGGCGGCATATGCACACCTCGCCCCCAATTCTCCTCTATGCAGAGCATTGGATTGGACAAGAAACCAGGAAACTACACCTCCAGGGTGATACCTTGGAATAAGGAATGGGTGGCAGCACAAGTAAGTTGAACGTTTGTTCTCAATTTCTTTTTTTTACAAGTCACAAGGAAGGGAGGGCTGAATTTAAAATGGGACTAGGACACTATAGCGCTAGGAATACATGTTTGTATTACTAATGCTATAGTGTTCCTTTTTTATGGGTTAGGGTTACTCCAGACAACATGACTTGGAGTGATTTGAAGTGATCATGGTGGTAGAAATCTGTATGTGCACATACAAAGTAATCTGCACTAGTGTGCTGGAGGCTAGTTACAACCCTGCAACACATGACTTAGGCAGCCTGGAACTGTACAGTGCTACCTAATGGCAATAATGTGGAAAAATTAATCCGTCTCCAGCACAATGGCAACGAACGTATAACGCTTCTGTTGCAGACAGTGCCTGTTTTTTACATTACCACACCATGGCATTCCTCATGAGGAATAGCATCTATCAATGGAAGTACAAAACGAAACAAGAACCTGTGATACATTAATAAAATTAAGAAGGTCATTTACTAAAGTGGAAATATTTGGGAATTCTGCTTGAATTTCAAATTTAAAGGAACACTGCAACCACCTAAAGCAATTTTGCTTGCTGAAGAGCTTTATGTGTGACGAATGTTTCCCTTTTTTTTTTTTTCATGTTCCAAAGACTGCAGATATTAATAGAAATTGGGGCTTTTATAATGTTACCTTGTAACACCACTAGGCTGTCAATCAGACAACAGGTCCTTGTATTCCCGGCACAATAACTTCCCCCTAATCACCACCCCACCCTCAGAGGGGGCTATTCTCTTCTGTCACTTACCTGGGTCCATGCTTTGGCGCTGGCTCGGGTTTGCATTCACTCCTACCCAGAGACCTAATGCGCATGCCCGGCAATAGCCATACTTACATTCTAATTTCGCATTAGGTTTTGGGTGATGCTGAATGTCCCCATGCATAGCATTAGGACGTCCAGCGTGAGTTGGGTAACTAAAAGTTGCCCAACAGCCTGGAAGTCACTGGTAGACAGCCACCAGTGGTGGAATTAACGTTGGCAGGTAATTATTGCAGTTTATAAAAAATTCCAATAATTACCATTGCATGGTCAAAGGGGCAAAATAGGGTCAGGAACACATATTTTTCTGACCCTATAGTGCTAAAACCACCATCTAGCTCCCCTGCCCCACTCTAAATATAGTAAAAATATGACCTACCTCTGCCCCTGTCTACTGACATCACCAGAAGTGGTGGTCTGAAACTAAAATCACAATGCTTCCCCCTGGGATTGGCTGAAGCTGTGAAGGAGGCAGAACAAGGGCAGAGCCAATGCAAGTCAAACACAGCCCTGGCCAATCAGCATCTCCTCATAGAGATGCATTGAGTCAATGCATCTCTATGAGTAAAGTTCAGTGTCTGCATGCATGTTGACGTTGAATGTAGTGCTGCATACTAGGAAAAACTGCTTAAAGGGACACTATAGTCACCAGATCAACTACAGCTTGTTGCATTTGTTCTGGTGAGTAGAATCATTACCTTCAGGCTTTTTGCAGTAAACACTGTCTTTTCAGAGAAAATGCAGTGTTTATATTACAGCCTAGTGATACCTCCGCTGGCCACTCCTCAGATAGCTGTAGAGGTGCTTCCTTAAGGGACCTGGGACACTGCACCCAGACCACTTCAATGAGCTGAAGTGGTCTGGGTGCCTCTAGTATCCCTTTAATAATAGTATCCCTTTAATAAAACATTATTGTGAAAAGGGTTCTGGAAACCCTTTAAAATGTAATTGGAATTCATTCTAAATTCCAGACAATTCACACTTTATTCATAACCCTGTCGGATTCCCAAAACTAGTCTTCCATTTTAAATTCACTTTAAATTCCAGAGCATTGAGACATCATTGATCAAGCCAGACCCAGGGTCCTCCTGTCCTTATAATGACTTACCATTCAGTGTGAATAAGGCAGACGTACATTCATCCTGTTCTCTTTAATCTCGCAACAGCAAGTTCCTAAAATGAAACATTTTGTGTTACTCAGCTGTTAGTGAGAACATTTTATAAAACAAGAACTGTCAAAAACCCAGAGCGCAAAAAAAAAAAATAATAATAAAAAAAACATTTATGACACAAAGGTTACACAGATGACAGAACATACTTCCTGAAAATCATGAAAATTGGGTGCAGCAAGATGGCCGCTGGGGCATTTCCACCGGATACTTGGTGAAAGGTGCAGCAATATGGCCAAATTACTGCTTCCGGTGGCTTCACTATAACAACTGAGTGTACAAAGATGGCTTCTTAAATGGCTCTTCCAGGTACCTAAACTAAATTGTATCCGTGTATTGTTGTGTGTTTATTTTTTATTTTTTTTATTATTAAGTAAAAGCCCAGTTGATTAATTCAACGACAAATTCTGTCCTTTAAATAATTTCCTGCAGCCTGCACCGGAAGTGACTCTGTACAGGCAGGAGAGCGGACACCTATTTCCGGTGTAGAGTGGGGTCCTTTTTCTCGAAGTCACCAACCGCTGCAGTGATGTCTGGAAGAGAAGGTGTGTTATAGGGAGGGGGGTGGTGATAATCCGGTGCCATCCTCCCTGGGGAAGTGATATAGCGGGTATGGGGGGTGCACGGATAATGGGGTACAGAGCCTGCTGTGTGGTATTGGGGTTCTTTTTGATGGGGGAGGGGCCAGTCTAAACTGCCTTCCAGCCTAATGAGCTCAGCCAGATTTTAAACCAGTTAGAACAGGATCTGCCCCTTGTGGGCCAGTAATGGCTAATCCATCCACCCTGTGAGCAGGGAGACAGTGGTCACTGGGTAGGACTCTTGTAGTGGAGAGGGTATTGCACAATATCTGTTATTTATTGCAACTGGCAGTTGGGTGATGTTATAGTTAAAGGAGCACTATAGGCACCCAGACCACTTCAGCTTAATGACGTGGTCTGGGTGCCAGGTCCAGCTAGGTTTAACCCTTTCTGCTGTAAATGTTTACATTAGGGTTAATCCAGCCGCTAGAGGCGCTTCCACACTTCTCACTGTGATTTTCACAGGGAGAAGATGCCAGCGTCCATAGGAAAGCATTGAGAATGCTTTCCTATGAGACTGGCTGATTGCGTGTGCGGCTTTGGCCTCGCATGCGCATTTAGCTGACGACTGGAAAAGAGGCGGAGAGTCCCCACCGCCGAGGGAGCCCGGCGGTGGAGAAAAGGTGAGTGTTTAACCCCTTCCTCACCCTAGAGCCTGGCGGGTGGGGGGGACCTAGAGACCCTATAGAGCCAGGGAAATGAGTGTGTTTTCCTGGCACTATAGTGGTCTTTTAAAGAATGGGTCAAAGATCTAATTAAAAAAAGCGGAAAGAAATATGAAAATAAAACCACTTTGTATTCCTAATGCTACAGTGTCCCTTTAAGGAGCATTCCACAATGTTATAAATAAATGGATTTATTTATAATCCTTTTGGATGATATATAGTTGGTGTCTATGACTGGGCCTCTTGTTCCTGTTTGTTAGGGAGAATAATGCTATTGCCTCTAAATCCGCATATAAACGGTCTCCTCGTCACATTGCATGGCCATCCTTGGGAAATATTCACTAGCAATGATCTCACAGCTAGCCCTATGCTTCTCGTGGAGAGGCCTCAGATTCACATTTGAGCAAGTGCTCAAGTCTTGTGACGAAGGTTTTAACCCCTTCAGCAACATGGGATAGGGGGGTGGGAGGGAGAGTGGACCTGCAGTGCCAGGAAAACGGTTTGTTTTCCTGGCACTGGAGAGTCCCTTTAATGTGTGCATGCACGTGGGTCAATGAAAAAGACCACTTTTATTTAAGATATAAAAAGTTTAAATCATTTTTTACTTTAATTGAGAAGATTTCTCATTATGTTCTTGTGCAGTCAAGGCACTGTATATTTACTGCATTGTTCCTGCAAAGCTCATACACGTGCCCTGTTGTGTGCCTGAAGTCGAGTAGTGATGTCACCCGTGCATTGGCATCACTACATGAGAGCACTGTGATTCCAATGGCAACCGCTGTATCCCAGGGAGAGGATCCACACCAGCGGTCCCAGAGAAAGATAGGGAAGCTGGATGGACCTATTAAAAACAATGTGTGTGAAAATGTGTCGTTGATTATATGTGAATGTGTATGTATATTTCCATTAGTGTGTTTTGAAGGGGTCTGGGTGCTGTGTCCCTTTTGCACTTAGTGCTTCAATGTAAAACATTGCGGTTCCAGAGAACTGCAATGTTTATATTACAGCTCTAAACCTGCCCACAGTGGCTGTCTACGAGACAGTCACTAGAGGGCTTCCTGCATCGAAACGGACCTTAGATCCGGTATCTGGCCCTGGTTGTTCCCACGCTCTGCATGAGGACCTCCAGCATCAGATTTTCCCCCATAGGAAAATGCTTGGTTAATGCTTTCTATGGGGAAATCACAGGGACATTGGCGCTGCATTCGAGTGAGTGAAAGGGGTTTTTAACACCTTCAGCGCTGTAGGAGGGGGGTCCTGAGGGAGGAGGGCGCTGTAGGGAACTATAATGCCAGGAAAACGGCATTGTTTTCCTGGCACTATCGTTTCACTTTAATAATATGACTCTAATTTTGAATCATTAAAAATGTCAATTCCACATAAGGATACCAAACTACAGGATCTTCCACTAACGGGGCTGAAATTTTAAAATTAAAAATAGGGATTTTCTTAAAGGATCACTGTAGGGTGAGGCTGAGACTGACAAAAAGGCAGATCAGGGGCAGAGCCAGCATGATTCAAACACAGCCGTGGCCAATCGGCATCTCCTTATAGAGATGAATTGCATCAATGAATCTCTATGAGGAAAGTTCAGTGTCTGCATGCAGAGGAAGGAGACACTGAATGTTTGGATGCATTTTAGGCAGCCATGACCCAGGAAGGATCCCTAACAGCCATCTGAGGAGTGGCCAGTGAAGTTATCACTAGGCTGTAATGTAAACACTGCATTTTCTCTGAAAAGACAGTGTTTACAGCAAAAGGCCTGAAGGTAATGATTCTACTCACCTGAACAAATTCATTAAGCTGTAGTTGTTCTGGTGACTATAGTGTCCCTTTAATTTTAATCTTTTAACTGTTTGTGGATAGTTCCCTACTTTGGTATCCTTATGACAATAAGATTAGCAAATTAGAGTGCCATCTAATATTATCTATATTTTTATAAGCTACACATCTGATGGTGGCCCACCATCAGTTTACAGATATGGTATACTCCCCTCATGTTAAAACTAGATTGCTTACCACTGCCCCTAGGTCTTTGATGGTGACAGTTTTACATACCTGCTGTCACCAAGGAAAGGTAACTTAAGCATTTTAGGTTAGCCAGGACATGTAGATCTGGCTACTTTCACTGAGATTAGAGGCCCTCATTGCACAGTGTTTCTTTATTACACATGGTGATGTCTTCCAGAGCAGGTGGATATTGTTGGCAGTGCAACCAAAGTTAGCTGTGACTTGCTGAAATGCTAAATCTTGGATTAATCAGGTCAATAGGATTTACGTAGCTGATCTTATGCATCAGCGTAGACCTTGGGTTTTCTGCATACAGTCACATCTGAGGAGGGCACTGTCATACTGCATTGTGTAAACGTAGCTTAGAAGACATTGGCCTTGATCAAGGAATCCCTTCCACATATATGTCGGTTTATATGTAACCGATACACTCAATCTTTAACAGTGTTCTGTTTTATTTCATTGCAGGTGGCAAGAAGAAGCCTTTGAAAGCGGCTAAAAAGCAATCTAAAGAGCTAGATGAGGTAATTTTGACAGCTCGTTGGACACAATGTTAAACTACTAAATATTCATTCAAAGTTTAATTCACGTTACAGAGCATTAGCTGGGTTTAGTTCCTGATTTATTGTCCCATACATGGATGGGGATTTATGGTTTATTGTCCCATTTATGGATGGGGAATTCCTATCGTCTGACGCCTGGGACATATAGTTCCGAGCGCTGGGCAGGCAGTTTAAATCTGCCTTTAGCTCTACGGTGGTCAAATGGCAGAGCTGCTACTTGGAGCATGTGACCTTTTGTTCTGAGAAACGGACTGAGTACCTGAAATCCTCAGAGGACCACCTTACTTTGTGGCTGGGGCAAAGCTGTTGTCCTTCCCTCTGTGCAACCTCCGGCACCACTTTCTGGAGGGGATGAGACCTATTGCAAATCTGCTCCCTGATTGGCTGCAGACCAGTGGAGCAATATGGAGCAGACACACTTTTTGGTAGGGCTGAGATCCTAATTTGGTTTGGTGCAGGGACAAGGAGGGTAGGTTTGGGGCAATGACAATAATGAGAGTGGGTTTGAGGCAGGGACATTAATGGAGTGTTTTAAGGGAAGGTACGCTAACTGGGTTTGGTTAGCGGCAGGGTCACTAATGTGGTGAATATGGGGCTGCAGCAGGTACACAAATGGGGAAGATTAATGCAGAGTCACTAATGGCGTTTAGTTTGGGGCAGACCCACTCATGGTGTGGGCTAGGAATATTGACACTAGTGGAAGGTATATAGCAGATATACTGTTGGGGATTTGGAGGGAGGGACAAAGTGGGACTCGTCACACACTACACACAGCAGATGCACATATTACACACCGACATTACACGCAACCTGCACACACACACTGCATACAGCGGGTGGAACATTCAGGGTTATTCACTAAAGCTTTCACAAATAAAATCTGAATAGAAAACCAGCATTCTATGCTTGTTTCTGATGACTTTCACTTCTCCATAGAAAAACATGTGCCATCTTATCTCTCATGAATGTGTGTAATTTATGAATTTGCAGTCAAAACTGAAAACCCCTTTTATCTGTAGGCTGTTTAAAGTTAAAACGGCATTCTCTGCTTGTTTTGAGGCAAAAAGTTGTGACTATTGCAGTTTTTTTTTTTTTTCAGATCAGCTTTTTTTTTTTTGTCTGTTTGATTTTTAAAAAAAAAATTATTTTTTTTTTAATTCACAAAAAAATTAGTTTAGTGCATAACACTGTCTAGGTCCAGGCTCAAGGCAGGTACCCTAATCTGAAAGTATTGGGCCTTCTTTTTGCTAATCCCTTGGACAAGTAATTATTTTAAAATTTCCATGCGCATAGTTAGGGGGAAATGTCAGCCATTGCATTTTTACAAAAAAGTTTTAAATACGTGGAATTGTCCCCCAGAAGAGCATAATAAAGAACGTAATATTAAAGCTAAAAGAAAAAAACATGGTTTAAACACACCACAATCTTGAGCACACAACAATAGCAGTAATATAGCCTATATTTTCAGCTTTGCTTATTCCTGTTTTATGTCAACTTGTTACATTACTCTGTCTTTTGATTATGCTGGCATTTCTGTTAATGGAACACTATAAGGTCAGGAACACAAACGCTATTTAGTGTTTCTCCCCTTCCCCCCTCCCCCTTCTAAATATAGTAAATCTTTTCTTTATTTCCCTCTGCTGGTGCTACCTCTGATCTGCCTCCTTGGTTGACATCATCAGAAGTGATGCTCTAAGCCAATCATAATGCTTTCTCATAGGAGAGCATTGGATTGGCTGAGATTGTAAATTATGATGATCTCAGCCAAGAAGGCGGGCTAGGGGAGGGAGCCAAATGTCGCCCTGGCCAATCAGTATCTCCTTATAAAGATGCAATGAATATCTGAGGAAAGTCCAGTGTCTTCATGCAGAGGGCAGAGACACTGAATAGCTAGTCCCACTGTGCAGCATTGCCCCAGGAAGCACCTCTAGCAGCCATCTGAGGAGTGGCCACTGGAAGTATCCCTAGGCTGTAATGTAAACGCTGCATTTTCTCTGAAAAGACAGTGTTTACTGCAAAAGGCCTGAAGGGAACGATTCTACTCTCCAGAACAAATACAATAAGCTGTAGATGTCTGGTTACTATAGTGTCCCCCTAAATTCCAATTCACTGTCTGAGCTTTTCATAAATAATCTGTTTATGTAAAACTCAAAAGTATATATTTAAAGAGACATTCCAGGTTGTAAGTGACCCTTATTTTTTTTATGTACTATGGATAATGCATTAAAAATAGATGGTAAAGTAAAATGCACATCAAGCTTTACAGCTTAAGCAATGAGCTCTGCCAAGGGCATGAAGTGTCACAGCCAATCGGGTTGATCCATTATTTTTAAGACGTGCATATCGTCTAAACGTCTAACATGCTCAGTGGAATTGTAACAACTGTACCCCAGTTGTATGAAATGAGCCATTATACATGAGTGTGCATTTTTATCTCAGTAAGTGGTGAAGCAGAGCCAGTGTAAGGATTTTTACCTCCCTAGGAAAAAAAATATTTAGCTGCCCCATTGTGAATCTCAAATGTACTTCTAGTGTCTCTTCACATCTTTTTCTCTAGTTTCTCACTTTGACAGTGTTTCCCTTTTGTCTGAATTTTTTATTTTTTTTCTCAACTATCGTTTTCCACAGTGTGCCCACTAGTCTGTGTGATGACTATAGCGAGTGTGTAAGGAATTCTGTGTATGGAGGTTGCTTGTTGGTTGTTTTATTTTTTTTTTTATTTTTTTTTTTTGTGCTTGTGGAGGATGTGCGCCCAGATGTGGATGGTTTTTATGTGGGTATTGATGGTGTTTTTGTTTTATGATTGTTGTGATTGAGGGGATTGGAGTGTGTGGTCCCAACACATTCCTGTAGAACAAAGGTTGTGGAAGTTGATTGTGCATATGTGCTTGGGCATAGAATGGAGGGATTGGCAGTGTGTTTGTGCGATATCTGCAAATTCCTGTACAATACCAGAAATAGCCGAAACACGGTGCACCATAGACAGCCCATACATACGACACCACAAAGCGGCCACTGCATCTGTACATGTCACAAGCAAAATTCTCTGACATTTAGGAGTTAAATCTCTTTATTTCTGGCCATGCAGCCCTAGCCACACCTCCTTCTGGCTGTCACTCACACAACCTGCATGTAAAGAATTGTTTAGTTTTCAATCAAACGTTAACTTCCTATAGACGTGTTTTTTTTTGTGTGTGTGTGTGTGTGTGTTTTTTTTTTTTTTGTCTCCATCTCTGTAAATATTTACTTTAACACCACACAGGAGGCTCCTCTAGAAATTCTAGATTAAATCGAATGTGCAATAAAGGAAGTTTAAACTGTTATTGGCTCTTTATAGGAAGTGTAAGTCACATTCAGGGTGGTGTGACTGGTGCTGTTTAAACAAAGTGATTAAAGGAACACTACAGGATCAGGAACACAAATATGTATTCCTGACCCTATAGTGTTAAACCAACCATTTAGCTGGCTTGCTCCCTTAAAAGGAATTAAAACACACTTATTTCCAGCGCTGCACGGGTCCGCTGGCACTGGCCCCGTCCCCCTTGGTGACATCAGATTGCTGATTTTTAGTCATGGGGAAAGCATTGGATTGGCTAAAATCGGCAGGGGGTGGGGCCAAATGCCATTTTTGCCTATCAGTACCTCCTCATAGAGATTTGCTGAATCAATGCATCTCCTATAAGGAGAATTCAGCGTACCCATGCAGAGCGTGGAGACTCTGAACGGCAGTCCTGCCTACTATGCAGCACTGAGCCAGGAAGCACCTCCATCTGAGGAGTGGCCACTTGGAGGTGTCCCTAGGGGCAATGTAAATACTGCCTTTTCTTTGAAAAGGCAGTATTTGAATGAAAATGCCTGCATACTCATCAGAGCAACTACATTAAGCTATAGTTGTTCTGGTGACTATAGCGTCCCTTTAACCTCCATGTCAGTGAATTGAGCAGTGGGATTGCAGGGGCATGATCTATACACCAAAATTGCTTCATTAAGCTAAAGTTGTTCTGGTGCCTATAGTGTCCCTTCAATTAAAAAAATAAATAATAATATGTCTGGCTATCCAAGGGACTTTAACAGTATTACTTAAGTTCACCACTATCATGAGTTTGCCTATTCCTGTTTTAGTGTGTCTTGCACTTGTCATTTTACTAATCTGTGTCTGTATATTTAATACACGTGTGCTGACAATCTCTATTTGTTCTTTATAGGATGAAATTGCATATAAGCAGAAACTCAAAGAAGAACAAAAAAAACTTGAGGAACTGAAGGGCAAAGCAAGTCAGAAGGGGCCATTGAGTGAGTATCTAGCTCTGTAACAGTAACACCAACTGCTGGAGTTTTGCTGTCCATTGTGGAACAACATGTAACTCTCCATCTGTCTCCATCTACACATTAACCCTTTAATATATGAAGATAATGTTACCCCTTAAGGACCAAACTTCTGGAATAAAAGGGAATCATGACATGTCGAACATGTTATGTGTTCTTAAGGGGTTAAACAACTAAAAATACGCTGTTGTCAATGATCAGTTGCTGCACTGTTGTAAAATATAATAAATAGGAAAATGACTGCTGTCTGCAAAATATGAATATATATATATATATATATATATATATATATATATATATATATATTTATTTATTAGTGTGTATACATACACACACAAAGCCAACTTTGCAATGATTGTGGGATAAACATTTGTAATATGGTTTTGTACAAAGTCCAGTGTGTGCCCTTGCTTCTTGCATTGGTTGGCGTGAGTGTGTATATATAGAAATATATATATTTTTTTCTTCTAATTCGTTGGGTCAGGTAGTGGTTGTCACAGCTACACTAACCAACTTACAAGTATAAGGCTGGAAAATGAAGATAGAACTTATAATGGCCCAGTTTAACATATAAAAGTGTAAACGGGAAAATAGCGAAGATTAGGAAACCGGAAATACTATACAACTAGCCAGGTCAGGATTACAGAATTAAGTCTGTAAATAAGCCACTTTTGGATAACCAGAAAATTTTAAAATATTTCATGCACTATATGAGTAACACGACCAGGCAAAAACTATGGGGTTGAAAACTGTATTTATACCCTGAAATCGCTTTATCCTTTAAAGTGAAACTTGGCTTTGTGTCAGTCAGCATTGCGAAAAAATGAGAAATTAAACCATGCTTCTATTTATCCTCTTCACTTGCAATGTATTCCATGGCTTTGTCTTGTCTGATCTGGATTATGATGAAATTTGCTTAATCTTTAATGTAACTTTTTTTTTTTTTTTTAAGAAAATCAAGCGTCTCTTGAAAGGTTAAGACAAATATATAAATGATTTTTAATGTTCTATTCAGTAATGTAAATTGCAAACAAATCACAGTTCCATTTTAAAGGTTTACTCCAAACATAACCACCCCAGCCTTTTGTAGTGGTTATGGTGCCAGCAGTACCCTGGAGTCTTTCCACGGTAAAGGGGAAACCATTTTGCAACAGTTTGGTCATTACCTAGGTCCTGCTTGGTCTCCAAGAATGGTGGCTCAGCCACATCAGCTGCTGCAGAAACTTCATGGCAATGCTGCTAAACTCTCTTAGCCAGTGAATGAAAGTCTGTGCATGGAATATGTACAGAATTGACAATAATCATCCCAGAACTCTCCATTTAGGCTGACTAATGAAATCTGTCTGAGGTGGAGTTATATTTCCACCAGTAACATTAAATATATCTTTCAGGATTATTCATGAACACGAGAACTGTTGGAAATTCAAAATGAATTTTAGATTTAAGGACAAGATTTGTTTTTCCACTTTGACCTTCATACTCACTTTGAATTGCTGTCAATTCTCACTTTTAGTTAATGACCTTGTGCATGCGTAACATTTCATACTAAAATGGGGCACACACAGGGTCTTTGCATCATGATCACTTTGAATCACTGAAGGTGATGGTGCTTGGTCTCTCTATACATGTTTTGCTGTAGACCGCTTTTCAAAGTCTATTTGCTTATCTATGCAACCTCACTTCGTCTTTGCAGGTTCAGATTAAGACTCTTGCTTACATTTTTGTCAAATGTAAATTTAATTTTTATTTCTTTACAGCTGGTGGCGGAATAAAGAAGTCTGGGAAAAAATAATGGAAAATCTTCACATAGTGGCAATGTTTCCTAATGTGAAAGTTGTTGTTTGGTTTTTTGAAAATCCTTTGGTTTAACAACTTATTTTGGGTTTCTTGTGATATTTGTGTAAAATGGTTATGAATAAATGTTTTTTTTAATATGCCATTGTATTGGTGTCTAAAATTTACATTATTTGATTTCGAAATCTCCCTTGTCATCACATAAAAAAAATAATCAAGGCCTGAACCAACATACTCCTTGCACCAGTAATCCACTGTACACTTTAAGGTGCTTACAGTTTGCTTTTTCTTTTAATATGCACTTTAAAATGCATCAATTGTGTTTTGGGGGGGCTTTGGAGTGTTTTTTTTAAGGAATAAATGGATAACTTCAAACACCATAACCACAAAGCCCACTGTAGTAGCCAGTGGCGTACACACAAACCATGGAACCCCGGTGCGAAAATTATCCGTGGGCCCCTCCACCCACCTGCCGACAGATAGAGACACAGACAGGCACACATACATACAGACACACATAGACGCATAAAAAAAAAAGACACAGACAGACGCAGGCAGGCAGACGCAGGCAGACAGACGCAGGCAGGCAGACAGACGCAGGCAGGCAGACAGACGCAGGCAGGCAGACAGACGCAGGCAGGCAGACAGACGCAGGCAGACGCAGGCAGACGCAGACAGGCAGACGCAGGCAGACAGACGCAGGCAGGCAGACAGGCGCAGACAGGCAGGCGCAGGGGCAGGCGGAGGGCGAGAGACGGACGGAGGGCAAGAGACAGAGATGGTACCTGGTATTCTCCCAGGGCCGGACAATCCCAAAATGTGTGTAGCATAGTGTCTGTCTGTGTTTTGCATCTCCAGCATAGCTCTGATGCCTCCTTATAGATTCGCGATAACTTGTATGGCACCAGGTACCATCTCATGGTGATTTTACAGAAGGCTTCCCAGAGTGATAAGCTCCTTGAGGCTCATTTAGTAATTGACATAGCTTCGTGCCAATGTGACATAGGTATCTCATACCCAATCTCCTCCTCCCATTGGATCATATAGGGCATTTTGTCTTTTGCAGAGACAGAGACGCAGGCAGAGACAGAGACGCAGGCAGAGACAGAGACGCAGGCAGAGACAGAGACGCAGGCAGAGACAGAGACGCAGGCAGAGACAGAGACGCAGGCAGAGACAGAGACGCAGGCAGAGACAGAGACGCAGGCAGAGACAGAGACGCAGGCAGAGACAGAGACGCAGACGCAGGCAGAGACGCAGGCGCAGGCAGAGACGCAGGCGCAGGCAGAGACGCAGGCAGAGACGCAGGCGCAGGCAGAGACGCAGGCAGAGACGCAGGCGCAGGCAGAGACGCAGGCGCAGGCAGAGACGCAGGCAGGCAGGCAGAGACAGACAGGGACAGACAGACAGACAGGCAGGCAGGCAGGCAGAGACAGACAGACAGACAGGGACAGACAGACAGGCAGGCAGGCAGGCAGAGACAGACAGACAGAGGCAGGCAGGGACAGACAGACAGACAGACAGAGGCAGGCAGAGAGAGAGAGACAGACAGACAGAGGCAGGCAGGGACAGACAGACAGACAGACAGAGGCAGGCAGAGAGAGAGAGACAGACACACAGAGGCAGGCAGAGAGGGGCAGGCGGAGGGAGAGAGAGGGAGGGGCAGGCGGAGGGCGAGAGACAGAGATGGTACCTGGTATTCTCCCAGGGCCGGACAATCCCAAAATGTGTGTAGCATAGTGTCTGTCTGTGTTTTGCATCTCCAGCATAGCTCCGATGCCTCCTTATAGATTCGCGATAACTTGTATGGCACCAGGTACCATCTCATGGTGATTTTACAGAAGGTTTCCCAGAGTGATAAGCTCCTTGAGGCTCATTTAGTAATTGACATAGCTTCGTGCCAATGTGACATAGGTAGCTCATACCCAATCTCCTTCTCCCATTGGATCATATAGGGCATTTTGTCTTTTGCAGAGACAGAGACACAGGCAGGCAGAGACACACACACAGACAGAGAGACACAGACACGCACAGGCAGGCAGAGAGAGACACACACACACAGGCAGGCAGAGAGAGACAGACACACAGGCAGGCAGAGAGAGACAGACACACACAGGCAGGCAGAGAGAGACAGACACACACAGAGGCAGGCAGAGAGAGACAGACACACACAGTGGCAGGCAGAGAGAGACAGACATACACAGAGGCAGGCAGAGAGAGACAGACATACACAGAGGCAGGCAGAGAGAGACACAGACATACACAGAGGCAGGCAGAGAGAGACACAGACACACACAGAGGCAGGCAGAGAGAGACACAGACACACACAGAGGCAGGCAGAGAGACACAGACACACACAGAGGCAGGCAGACAGAGACACAGACACACACAGAGGCAGGCAGACACAGACACACACAGAGGCAGGCAGACACACACACACACACACAGAGGCAGGCAGAGAGAGACAGACGGACAGAGAGAGAGAGACAGACACACAGAGGCAGGCAGAGAGAGACAGAGAGAGGGACAGAGACAGGCATGATTGAACTCCAGGATCTCCAAGCTTGTACTAGAAACTTGGAATTGTGTAGCATATGGGCACACTTGACCGGGGGCATCATGTTGGACCATAGGGAGCTAGCAATGTTGTGTGGAGCTGCAGACCGGAAGCAATGGCCACCGCACCACCAGGGAGTAAAGGTAGGTTCTCTCTCACCACCCCAGCACCCTCAGCCTCTCCTCCCCACACCACCCTCAGCATCACCCCCTCACCATCACCGACCCTCAGCATCACCCCCCTTACCAACCTCATTGCATAGGACCCCTGGTGGTGACTCAGAAATACTACACCCATTGTTTTTAACCTTGATGTAAGTGATTACATTGATTTTTTTATTTAATACTAGTTTGTGCACTACAATTTTATTTTTTCTCTCTTGGGTACATATACTCCAGCCAACCCATGGTGATTTGAATACAGACTGAAGACTGAATCCTTGGAAGGAATTTATACTTAAGGCATTTTTACTTCAGTGAATGTGTGAGCGGTCATTTGTGAATACCATCTACCAAAACTAATAATTCACTACACCCTACTATCATTCCTCTCTTTCCAACAGATAATGCTTGGTGTCCAGTTAAGGCACTAGACCACCTACAGTCAACTCATAACACGCACTTACCAGACTCTCCGCTCTTACAACTACGAGGGCACCCACTCACCACGCATGTTAGAATCTTATTGGGAAAATTGGGTTACAACCCAGCTTTGTTCTCCGGGCATTCCTTCCGCATAGGAGCCGCTTCATCAGCTTCTAGTACTAACACCCCGGTCCACATCATAAAGAGACTGGGTCGTTGGAAATCCTCTATATACAATACGTACATTCCACGACCAGAAAGAGTGCTTCGCCAAGCCTTCAGGAATTTAGTTATGTAACAAATGCAATAAAGTGTTTTTTTTTTTTTTTAGAACTTCTCTTTGCCCTCTTTTATTTACAGGCCCACTCGGACGTTGGTTTCGGCACACCACAACCAACTTTCATCTCAGACACTATCCATTACATATTAAATTCCGAGCACAAACACAGTTATACACTATGTTTCCTTGTTTGTTATTGGTTTAGCTGCAGCAGATCATCCCCTATTTTTTGCATATATTCCATGGAGGACAAGAGGAATTCTTTTGGGATACCATTGAAAGCTTTACCTTGTACAGAGAAGTTTTTGTCTGCTTACATCTTATTTGGCACTAATTGCACTTTTTGGTTTGTGTACACACATATTGTGTTTTTCTTGCACTTTTTGTACAAATCTTTGAGGTGTGACTAGGACTGCAGAAAAACAGCCATTTAATCTTAAATAGAAGAGTATTGAGCAGAGAGACTAGAGTCATGATCTATGAATCAAAACCTCTTCTTTAAACTTTATTCATTTTCATGCTTAGACTGACCCTTTAATTGTACACTCTAGTTGACTGCTTTGTGTGGCGCCCTGGGATGAAGACAGTCATGTGTGAGTCTGAAAGGTAGGCTTTGAGGCTTTAAAGATAGCCCTATAATTCACTAAAAAAATAGATGTATACAACATAATTTAAGGTAAATTAAAATTTAGGAAAGGTACACCTTTTTAATTAGGAATTTTCTGACCTCTTCTGATAAAAACACACCACTAAGGCTTTGTTAAATTATATATTGTTGGTCTTCCCTCTGCAAGGTTTGTATGCAGTTATCTCTACAATTCGGTTCTGCTGATAACACTTCAATAAGTGTTTAATAAGCAATATATTAGTAACACGATTACCCTTGAACCAAACTCTGATGTTAAATAATTGTTTTAATCGTGTCAAATTTTGTCCTATACTTGTTTTTGATACCGGAGAAACTGACGGAAGCAAAGCACAGAGGGATGGACACAGGTTTCTTCAGGAAGGAAGAGATTCTTTATTGGATCACCGATCGGGACTCAGAGGGACTAATGTCACCAAAAAATACAGCAAGTTCTGAGCCCTGAACAATAGTGCAGGCTCCCTATATAGGCACATAACTCCTCCCATATTAAGCTCCACCCGCACATTCTCTTGACCAATCATTACAAATAAAAATTAACTTCCTGCTTGACCGCATGGCTTGTCCAGCACAATGGAGGAGGGGAATACTACATCCTGTATTCTTGCACATGCTCCGTACACTACTGATCGTATCTTGCCTCGTGCAACCAACTGATCGATACGTCAGCATATGCACGTACACATGCCACGTGGTAATCTCGGCCTACTAAATTTATTTTTACCGAGATTCCACCACATTCCCCCCTTTGATGCCTCTTGATATTTTACAATTACTTGAGGCATCACTTAACCTTGGTTTGCATACACCACAAGTTACCTTTGAACCAGACCAGACTTATCCTATGATGTGAATCTTCAACACTCGTCTTCCTGCATTGGTTCTCCCTGATCTAGAGCCTTATATTTATAAATTGCCATTATCTGTGCAGCAGCCTTCCTCTCTGCTATATTTTCTATCAGGCTTTGCACAGACCTAACTACTAAGGGTATAAGACACGGCAGGAGTAGACACAACATTAAAATCAGTAGGACTCCACCTACCACTGCCTTAAGCCCTCCAAACCACTCATACCAGCTACCAAACCAACTACTTGGATTGTACCCTTTCCATACCTGAGTAGGCACATGCGCTAGTTTAACCATATGGCTAGTAAGCTCAGCTATTGCTTGCCCTTCGTCATCTATTTGAAGACAGCAATTGCTCAGGTTAAACTTCCCACATACACCTCCCTCTACTGCCAAAAGATAATCCAAGGCTAATCTATTTTGGTAAACTGCTGTCCTCATCCTGGTATTATGCTTCGCTAGAAGATTGAGCGCTTGTGATGTCTCGTTAGTAATGATCTCAACCACCGCCTGTAACCTTATAATGCGGTTGAGCATATAAATAGGGGTTCTATAACCAAAGGTACCATCCTCTGCCCACGTGGCTGGCCCATAATAATCTATAATACGCTGGGGAGGCCATTCATTATCTTCCCAGGCACCTATCTCTATGGGTCCCCTTTTCTTCCTATGATTCACATCATACACTTTAACACCTAAAGTCTCACCTGTTTCAATAGGCAACAAGAAGAAGGATGGTTTTAACATACCCAACACACATGCCCCTTCCCAGTCCTGTGGTAACTCCGAATAGGCCTTCTTACCACAGATCCAGTACAAATTGGCTGGGGCTCTCCAGTTAGATGTGATGGATAGATCAAACCATACGTCCTTTAAATTGGCATATCTTGCAAACGGGTTAGATGGTTCTGAGATATTTGAAGCCGACCACCAAGTTGTATTCTTTGTATCATCATCATAAGCTTTTTGCCCTAGACAAGTTAATTCTCCTACAGAAGTATTATACATCATTCCTTTCCTCGCTATGCAAACATAACCTATGATGGAGGTCTTCAATCTCCACTCAGATTTACCTCTAACACTCATATGATAGTCGGCTTGTGTAGATATTAATTGGTCAACTGCCTCAGAACCGGACATTACCTCCTTTGCTTCCCAAGGCCATTGGTCTCCCATGTTAGTACCTCCACACACATAGCAGTTGGTAACATTAAGACTACCGGCAATACTCTCGGCTAAATCAATGAACAAGTTTTTAGCATTATGGGGGATCTTATTATCTATGCTCATCTCTTCATAAAAGGAATGGTATACTTGATGAGTTTGGGAGGTTACCGTATCAGTCTCTATCCCTATAAACAATATTGTCCCAGGGTCTAAACCCGTCCCATATATTTGAAACCCAAATAAATTACCATATTTATCTAAGAACTTGTCAGGGTTATTTATAAGTATATGGATTGGATTGCATTCCATAGACTTACAATATGGATCAGTAGGCAACTTAGTCACAATCATGTCCTTGTCTGCTGTCTGTCCCCAAGTCGCCCACCCCACACAAGACCAATATGGGCAGAAGTTATAATCTCTATTTGGGCATCTTGGACTTACATATTTATTTTTACTACTGGGACAAATATATTTATCGTTAGACCCATACGTCCTCTCCCATCTAAGATCCCCACATACATTCCACGGCTTTCTACCACTTGATATTGCTTTACACGCATCAAATAGCAGAGCACCTGAAGAATATACGGATTTTAATACCGTCTTATTAATTAGGGTCCCCTGAGAATCTCCATTTCTGAGAGTCAACCAAATTGTACGGGGTTGATACTCAGGACTGAAGCACTTAGGTTCTCCTACTCCTAAATGACACACACTATATTCTATATTTAAGTATCTACATCTTGATACATCTCCTTTACACTCATATTGCGAATGCCAAATTAGGGTCTGGGATATATGGTTACCTGTTCTTGTAGTCTTAATGCATACCTCACAGCTAGGAGTGTTGGTACCTCTACCTTCCTGAATATAAAAATACACATAAATAAACATTATTAAAAATACATCTTTCGTCGTCATCCTCAGTCTTCGTCCGTGTGAAGGCACCTCAGCTTCCAGGATGTAAGGACTGCAGGGAATGGAGTTCTGCTCGTCTTCACAGGGGTCCCCTCAAGACTTTCCCTGACTTATACACTCGTTGGTGAGTGGACAGGCTTTATTATGGCCTTCTCACTCACTTACCAAGTCTCTGAAACAATAAAATTTGTAATCCACAAGGTTCCTCGTCACTCCGACTGAGTCGTGCGTTTTAACCGGATCTTGCAGGGATTCTCTGGATTTGCTGTAACTTGCCAGGAATCGGCTGCTGCTGGTTTAACCCTGGAGTGATGTATCCACGGAGCCACTTCGGCTACTTTTATCGCTGTAGGGGTAGACAGAAGAACAACATAAGGACCTCTCCACTTGGGCCCTAACGGCACATTATT